ATATTTCTTATATCTTCTTCCTCATTTCTCTTTTTTCAGCATACAAAAGGCTTCACATGTCTACATCTTAAAACAAAAACCATGTCATCTTCAGCTCTTTTCCCATTCATAGCCTTTGTTGTACATAAGCCTTTAAATTTGATGCCATCCCACTTATTAACTTCTGTTCTTAATGTATTCTGTTGTACCAAGAACTCCACTGAAATTTTTTCACTATCAAGATAATAATTAACTCATAATTTTAAAAAATGTGAGTCGGTCCTCATACTGACTCACATTTGACAATGTTGGCCACAACTTTTTAAAAAATATTTTTTTCTTATTTCTCAGCTGACTCTAGATACAGATATAATGCTTTTCTACTTGGATATTTTCACAAATACCCATGTACATGAAACTGAGCTCATTACCATACTTTAAAAAGCTCCTCCTTCATTTCCTGTCTTAATAAATGGTTTGATAATCATCTAGTTTTGCCAAATATGGAAGTCATTCTTGACTGTTTCCTCTATATAACCCACTTTCCATGATTATTCATTTTTACTTAACATCTTTTGAATATATTCTCAGTCCCTTTGTCCCATGTTTGATTAATGTGAAGTGATGATTTCTGAGGATATTTTTATATAAAAATTAGGTATATACTTTTAAAAAGATTTTTCTAAATGACTTTGCAGGATAAAAGCATATTAACATATTCATATAACTATAGTATGCTGGAATACCATCCATTGAATTTGATACATTAATAAAGTTCTGATATGTTGATATACATAAATATTTAAATTTTATAGCAAATAATGTAACAGGAAGTCTTTTGGAATCTCAATAATATTGCTAACAAATTAAAAAACAAAGCAAGCCACAAACATATTCCAGGCAATTGATGCAAGTACCAGAAATTTCATGTAAGTAATCAATGAAATGTAAAAAGTACCAATGAATTTCTGTATAGGCAGTTAGAATACAAGTACACAAATCTTTGTACAGACCAGATGTGAAATCATTCAGCAAAATCAGATTTGAAGTAATTCTCTTATTCTTGTGCTTGCAATCCACAAAAGCAAACATTACATTTAAGTTCCCAGCAAACTACAGAAAAAATGCATTATCAGAAGGATAAAACAATTAGCAAAAATATTTTATTAAGATTACAAATGTTTTAATCTTGATCATAGAAACATGAAACATTATCATCTTAAAAGCCACCTAAATTTTCATCTCTGAAACCTAAAAAATTGTTACTGTTGCACATGACTGTTTTTAAGCCACCATAACTCCTTGAGTTAGAAACTATGTCACCACTATCTTCAATCTATTAATAATTTGTACCATCAAAGGTTGAATTACTGTGGAAGTTTCACAACATATACGTGCAAAAGGACTTAAAACATTTTCTGCTTCAGCAAACTTCTTAAGAATCAGAAAATTTCATAACCCTTAGGGTTATTTCATTTCTTTAGGCAGATCATGGGGTGGCCTACAGAGCTTTTTCTGAAGCAGAAATTCCATATTTTGTTTTGGTTCTTCTACCTCCACATGTTTTCTTCCTGCTCAAAAGTGTATTCTGTGGGCAGGTGTGGAGATTTCTCAGCCAACAGTAGCAGCCCTACCATAGGTAGGATAGGAGCAGTGGTGGTCCCTGGGCTGGGGCTTAGTCCATAATATAGGCAAATTAATCAGGTGCCAGGTGATTTGTAGATAACTTTTCTGGGGAGTTAAGTGGAGTACTGCTTATAAAATGGCACTTACAGTATTTTTGCTGGATTTAAAAATTTGTTGAGCATAAGATATTTGGGGGAGATATCCTATTGATACTTATCAAATGGTATTTGTAATAACATTTATGTAAGTATATAACAACTATATTTAATA